TTGGTTGAGCACTTGAATGCTAATGGTAATGAAATGTATAGAGGATGAACTGGACAGCCTGCAATGTAAGTGATTAATAACTCCTTTTTCTCACTCGCTAAAAGACAGCTTTGGCGCAGTGTCGCAGCAGAACATGACACCGAGAAAGGCACGCGCGTGGAATCCAACGTGAGCGCATCATCACGCAGGTAGGAAAGGGGCACCAGAGCATGGCTGCGCGCCCAACAAGAAGTTGGCCTCGAAGCCCCATTTCTTTCAGAATTCACCTACAGGTATGGCCATTTACCAGTTATAGCTGGTTATAAATGGGATTATACATTCTATAAATGGGGTTATAAGTACTTATAACTGATAAATGGCCATAACTGTATTGACTCTAAACATTTAAAAAATTGACAGAGTTAGGTAGTCACACGTCAACCCTCCTAACTATGGGGACCCACCCTGTGCTCTCTTCATCTCTTTTCGCAGTTTGCTTGCCAGGGCTTCAAGCCGCCGGCACCCGTTGGAGACGGCAACTACATTGCAGACGATCCGGACAGACCTGGGAAACAATGAAGCACCTACGCACCTTGCGACACAGGTTGATCCACACTATAGGCAACATGTTTTTGGATGATGTTTTAATGTTTTTTCTTTGCGCCATTGGCTTTGCAAATTCATCATCAACCGTTTTTTTGAGTGCTCAAGTCCCAAAACATGTTTGGAGCAGCACCATTTTCTAAGGAAACATGACGTGGGAGGGTATGTCTGGGGACATGCAAGAGTGCAGGACGCGCCGCCAGCCGATGAAATCACAGGCCGAATGGGTCCAAGTTGCAAGTAAGTGACGGTAAGGCAATTGACATAATGATGAAAAACCAAAATAATTTGGAGACGTTGCTGCGTGCTATGCTGGGCGCGAGAAACGGAAGTTGCACGCAACCCAATCCCGTGCCTTTTGCGGGAAGAATTGTGCGCCCAGAGGGCAAGAATACGAATGCTAAATGCTGAAAAAGAGAGACAGAAACAGTGACTACTAGTCAACATTGGTCAATTCAGTCCATTCATTTTTGCATATTATTGCAATGTTTTCATTTCTGATTTCTATTCCATCCATGGTTTGAAGTTTTGAACAGTGATCACAATGAAAACCTGTTCATTTTTCAACATGTAACATATTCTACATTTATTCATCTATAGGGATGGATAGCTCAAGCACTACTCGATGAACATCTAAATTGGCCGGCGAATTGCAACGAAAAAAATGGTATAATTCACTCGCCAGGCACGCTTATTGGTACTTGAAATTGACGTGTTTTTGATTTCAAGACCGCCTAGTTTGGCAATGTTTTGTTTTCTTTGATGCATTATTTTTGTTTGTGTTTTGGAAAAATGCAATCCCTGCAGAATTATATAATCAATATGATTTAGTGATAAAACAATAATCATAATATTTTGTTTAAAGAAACGTAATATGGAGGTTTCCTAAAATGATTGTACCTCAAATTCGACCATTTGAGTATTGAAATCCATGGTATTGGGGATTTCTCCATTTTAGGAAACCTCCATTTTGGGATTCCTTTTGGACACTGCCATGCACTGCTCAGATCCTGCAGCTGGAGCTGTAGATACCACTTTGATCGTGGTGATTGCGAGCTCCAGTTTTTGCTGTCTGGTCGCGAGCTCGGGTCGACTGGATCCATGGAACTGTCGGAGGTCTCCTACAATTGGGGTACTCCAATAGCTGGATGGTTTAGTTCATGGAAAATCCGAAAATGAAATGGATGATTTAGGGCTACCCCCATTTTAGGAAACCACCATGTTTATATTATATTTATTTATTTATATATATATATATGTTATTATTATTATCATAATTGTTATTGTTAATTATTACTAGTTTTGTTTTTTTGGGATATTTGTGTTAAAATTAAGGGGGCCACAGAAAAAAGGAACAACCGACATAAAAAAAAAAAAACACTGCAAAACACACGAATCGTGAGTTGGGGCCGAACATGGCTCCAAAACAGGGGCCAACCTCCCAACGAGTCGGGTGCCGAAATGCCCGAACATTTCTGAGAATGTCCACTTTAGTTGGATGGGTTGAACTTGAACATCTATTTTCAGCCGTGAATCCACCTTGGAACAAGTCGGAGTACATTTTCGGACATCTGGATGCATTTAGAGACGACTGTGGCACAAATTTAAAAATGGTCCATGCTGTTTTGTTATTGAAGTGGATTTTCGGGTTGTTGTTTCGTCTACAACGTTGGACCCATCCATAGAATTGAAACGTAGGATTTGGTAGGTGTTGAGCAGAGGTTTGGAAGGAAGAACTTTAGTTTGGTTTCGTATTGCAAGTTGGCAATTGACCGTCACTACTTAATGATTCATGATTTCTTAGCATTTGATTGGATGATTGTTTTTGCTTTTGATTATGCATCAAGAAGGGGTCCCTTTCAATCAATGGTTGCAACAATGGTTGCCTATCAACCAATGCTTGACGACATCTCAAAAAGGGACAGGCTTTGTGACTGTCAAGAGTGTCGGATTTGACTGTCAAAAAGGGACAGGGTGATGGAGTACCCTCTGGTAAACATACAAAAAGCTATTGAAAATTGCCATTTATAGTTGATGTACCATAGCTATGTTAGTTTACCAGAGGGTATCTTTCAATTCCGGTACTTTTTGTTCCAGTCGAGCTCTATGAAGATTAAACAGGGCAACAAGACAAAGCAGAAACCACCTTCACTGGTTGGTGGTTCGGAACATGTTTAATTTGTCCATTCAGTTGGGAATAATGATCCCAACTGACGAACTCAAAGAGGGGTAGGTCAACCACCAACCACCTTCACATCCTGGGTATATGGCTGAATGGTGTTCCACCATGGCTGACTCCCATGCACTGACCCTGAACACGAACGAACCATGAAACAATCCACTTGCGGATAGTCATCCTGTACGTGAAAGTCACCCTGAAAGTCAAATGACTCATTCTACCCGCCATAGTAGTGATATGTAGTGATATTCCAGAATTGTTCCAGGAGTAATCCATTGGGATTTTCTGGGCTATAGAGAAGTGACGTAAACTTACTAGATCCTCCGAGGTTTCAGCAACTCGTCCTGAGGCCTTAATCATGCTGGGCTGCGCCTTCTGGACAGGTATTCTGATGCGAAAACCCACGCGCGCGGGGACCCGGAATGGAGCTAGTGGCATGAGCCAAAAAAGTCTACAACCAAATTGATTATATATAATTACATGTATATATATAATGTTTGGGAATGATTAAAGAGATGGTACCCTATTGTGAGAACTTTCTTGCTCCTAATTCAGTCACATGCTAATTGTTGGGGGGAACTCTATTGTGAGATTTTTTTCAGTTTTTTTCATTTTTTTTTTATTTTTTATTTTTTCAATTAGTTTTTATTTTTTTTTAAAAAAATATATTTTTTCAATTTTAGTTTTTTTCCAGATTATTTCATTTTTTTAATTTTATTTATTTTTTTTTTAATTTTTATTTTTTTCAATTTTAGATTTTTTCCAGATTTTTTCCAAATAATTAGATGCCTTATTAAACCCTTATTAAAAAACAGCACCCAGACAATTTTTCAAGGGGATACCTCATGAGTGGCTCAGTTACTCAATAATATAATTGTTTGGATGGTACTCTATTGTGAGCACCAACTTTTGGGAGTGAAAAAAAAACTTTTCTTCACCTTTCTTTGGGTAAAGCTGGTCCTTTTACTTTAGAAAGCCATATTTGTGTTAAAACTAAAATGCAAGGTTTTCCAAATAATTAGATGCCTTATTAAATCCTTATTAAAAAACATCACCCAGACAATTTTCAAGGGGATACCTCATGATTGGCTCAGTTACTCAATAATATAATTGTTTGGATGGTACTCTATTGTGAGCACCAACTTTTGGGAGTGATAAAAAAAACAAAACCCTTTCTCCACCTTTCTTTGAGCAAATCTGGTGCCTTTACTTTAGAAAGCCATATTTGTGTTAAAGCTTTAAAATGTAAGGTTTTCCAAATAATTAGATGCCTTATTAAACCCTTATTAAAAAAACAGCACCCAGACAATTTTTCAAGGGGATACCTCATGATTGGCTCAGTTACTCAATAATATAATTGTTTGGATGGTACTCTATTGTGAGCACCAACTTTTGGGAGTGAAAAAAAAACTTTTCTTCACCTTTCTTTGGGTAAAGCTGGTCCTTTTACTTTAGAAAGCCATATTTGTGTTAAAACTAAAATGCAAGGTTTTCCAAATAATTAGATGCCTTATTAAATCCTTATTAAAAAAACAGCACTCAGACAATTTTTCAAGGGGGTACCTCATGAGTGGCTCAGTTACTCAATAATATAATTGTTTGGATGGTACTCTATTGTGAGCACCAACTTTTGGGAGTGAAAAAAAAATAAAAATAAATTAAAAGTAAATTGAAATCAATTGAAAGTAAATTGAAAGTAAATTAAAAGTAAATTGAAAGTAAATTGAAATCAATTGAAAGTAAATTAAAAGTAAATTGAAATCAATTGAAAGTAAATTGAAATCAATTGAAAGTAAATTAAAAGTAAATTGAAATCAATTGAAAGTAAATTAATTAATTAAAAGTAAATTGAAATCAATTGAAAGTAAATTGAAATCCTTTCTTAATTTGATTGACCAAAAAAATGTTGAGGGGGGGCAAAAAAAAGTGCGAGTTATAGAGTATCCTCAAATTGTTTGGGGGGGGGCCCTCACACTAATCAGACGCAAACATTATATATATATATATGTAATTATATATATATATAATTATATACAATTATTTATATTAGATAATATATCATTATATATATAATGTATCATATAATGGTGATTTAGCCACTGTATCTGGAGATTTGTTTTATGGTTCCCAACCTGCCACACCAGTGTGCACAAACTGAGGCGTCTCGGATCTGCACTACGTGGAGACGCCCGCGATCTCGTTGCACGCCCCCAACGGCGATTGTCCATTGCCTGGAGCCATGGGGCAGGCGGGAACCCGGGAACCCTTAAGGGAACCCATGGGAAGCTGGCATGGTTTCCTGCAGTTATGGCCATTTATCAGTTATAAGTACTTATAACCCCATTTATAGAATGTATAATCCCATTTATAACCAGCTATAACTGGTAAATGGCCATAACTGTAGAAAATCACAAACAAATGGATGATTATACCCCCATGGATTGAAAACTTCCAAAACTTCCAAAAAAATCCAAATGAAGGTCATAAGATACGGCAATTTTTGTTGAAATATGTTGAGTGTATAATCTCATGTCTGAACAAAAATGGCATCTTGCAGTTTCAGGCGGGAAATAATGTATAATTTGTTTAAATTGGACACTTCAAAACACGTAAATCTGCTTGATCAACAAGACATCCGGCATTGATCATTCTGCATGAGATGTATATACTGATTACCGCCCATTCCATCAATTGGTTCATAACCCCCATGAAAGTCATGAAAACATATAAAAACTTTAGCTATAACATGTTATAGCAGATATAACAACGGACCCTATTCATGAGTTCTTTGCGTCAACCATTTGCAGGTGAACTCCACATATTAGATAAATTCCCATTGAAATCTCAATGTTCCCTCGTTAAATTATGACCCAAGTGACCCAATTTCAATCACCACTTGTTCCTAGTTCGATCCCAATTTTTTCGTTGCCTAAATCACCGTTTTTGCTCGTAAAATCCCTATGTTGCCTTAATCCCAATTGTTGCTACTACGATCCCCTATTTTTTGCTGTTGAAATCCTTATCTTTTGCTGCTTGAATCCTTTTTTTTGCTGGTTGAATCCCAATTGTTTGATGGTTGAATGTCAAATCCCAATCTTTGATGGTTCAAACCCAATTTTTGAATCCCCATTTTTTCTCGGCGAAATGCCATCCGTTTCTCGCCAGGAAATCTCCTCGCGCGCCTCTTCGCGGACCTCCTGTGGCAGCAGGGGACCGCAGGTGCGGATCCGCCAGTTGGTGGATATTTTCCTTAATAAAACCTATGGGAATACGTAATAGGGAAATTAGGGAGTTATAGGCTTACAAACTCTTATAATCCATAATAGTATGGGAATATCAATTTTGGGATTAAAGGGAATATCATCGGATTATAGAAGCGGGAATATCCAAATTATGGTTTTAACCTGCCTATAAAACCTATGGATTATTTTCGGATTTATAGGGATAATCAAACCATCCATGAGTGATAAACAATTAAATAGTCAATAAATCTACCGTATCTGATAGATTTTACCATATCCATCTATACCTTTAGAAGTATCTAGTGTATGTCTGAGAAACATACTCTGCCAACTTAATCTATCTTGGGTTTTGAAATTTGTATTTAGGTCTATTTAGGTATATAGACACGTCATTTGGGATCAGAGCGAGCTACACAACAGTCATCATTTTTACCGGCGAGCGTGGCCAGAATTCAGGGATGCCTTTCCACCGGGGTTTCTGGGTGCGGAATTATGCCATGCCGACACCAATGGGAATACTGTTTCCACCGGGAAGTGCTTGTCCGTTTTTATCTTGGGAGAAGGTTGAAACCTTCTCCGGCAATTCAGATAATTAAATAACATTAGACATACATTAGACATACATTAGACTGCACTTACATGTAATTCCTGGTGAAAATGCTTCAGACCTTCGGTCAACATTTCCGCCGAATCTTCAGAGAACCAGGGAATTCTCCCCATCGGAGTTGGATTTTGTAAAGCCTGGGGAGGTCAGCCAGATCAGGGAATCACACATGGCAAGCTGGAAAATCCCCAAAAACATATATAGATGATTATAGATGATTATAGATGATAATGTTCCCAACTTAAGACATCATGTATAGTTTATTGATGTTTATTGTACATCGCCGTGCTTGATGACCAAAAGGTCGTAGATGTGCTTGACATTTTGGTGATGATTTCCTGTCAAGCACTATGATGCGTTTGTTTAATTATCGGATATGGGGGTGCCTGGTTTGTTTCCAGCTTACATCAGGAAACCCAGCCTGGGCAAGCCAAATGGCTGGGTATTTAAGGAGATACTAATCATCCAAAGATAAGAACAGCTGCACATTTTGTGAGGTATGTATTATGGCCAAACATCGGGGGCTAGCATAGCCAGTGTGTCATAAAACGGAAACTTGATGCTTCGGCTATCCGGCATTTGTGGCAGACACATGTCTACCATCGTGTTGGCCATGGTAGTGTCAGGTGTGATTGTAAATCAGCTCAAATAATTATACATCCCTGCATGGGCATACAATGTCCCCAACATGTCCCGTATTGTTGAGGTTGGTTTGTTGCGTTTTCGGATTTTTTGAGTTGTTGTTGAAGACTTTTGTGAGGAGTCACTTTCTCATATATATTATATATCATATATATATATATACACAATGTCCTCGGTACAGGCACAGTCATTGGTTTTCCTTCACCTGCAGTCCTTCACATTTTTGGCAGCTATGGGCCGATTTTGTTCCCAAGCATCTTCAAATGCAAGAAATTTCCCAAGCAGAGAGGCTGTGGCAGGATCTGTGGCACCGACGCTCGATTAATGACGGTGGCCGGCTTTGAAGCTATGGATGTTCGGACCATTCGAGGGATGGGCTTCGAGATTTGCCGGGATGACTCGAGAGAGGAAGCATCTGCATGGTGTTCTCCGGCTTGGTCCTATCATTGTGTGTTTGTCATATCCCACTTTTAATGTCGGACATATCTATGAAATTCTTTGAAATCCCCAGCCATATCTTCTCATATTTCTTGATACGACCGGATAAGACCCAGTTTTTGGTTTGTTAATAATATGCTCCGTTTATTGAATATGTGCTAACATTTGCCACCAAGATGATCCAGTTGTGTAGAAAAGAATGGTATATTGTCAACAGACGGGTAAGTCATTGCATATGATATATATATATATATGTATGTATGTATGTAATGTAATGCAATGCAATGCAATGCAACGCAACGCAATGCAATGCTAGTGTAATGTAATGTAAATGTAATGTAATGTAATGCAAGGTAATGGAATGTAGTGTATGCATGTATGTTTGTCATATGATATATATATATGTTTATATGTGATGGATATTAAATTATATATACACACCTGATTCTCATAATACAACTAATCATGGATAATCATATATTGTATAGTCATAAATTGCATAAATGATATAAATCATGCATTAACAATGATGATATCTTTATTTTCCCATTGCTATACGTTGCTGGATATCTTTCAACAGGAGCGAAGCGCGTCCCGCAGATCCAGCAACGTCTCACAGACGGTGTACACCAACCAGGTGTCCGCTGAGAGGGGTGAGTGATGGTCTTCAAAAAGGATAGTTGGATAAATCATTACCGTAACTAATCATTAACTATTAATCATTAACTAATCATTATCTATCATATACATATATATATATATACATATGCACATCAATAATAATATACAAAAAGTGTGATGGAAAATGGTCGGTCCATCACCGGATTTCCCACGTGACAAAGCCCTTTAAATTGGTTGAACCAGATACTGATATGTATTATATATATATAACGTGGTAAATCGAATGGCATAAACCATCCCACAAATCACTACTTTTAAGGATGGTCTAAAATGTATAAACCACCTCCAGATGGTAGGTTGATGGCATCGGGTTGTCCACATTTCCCCCATCTTATGGACAGACAGACCTAGACGTCGCTTAAAATGATGGGTACATGGACCAAGTCTCCCATGGCGGAAGCTTAGTTTTCAGATGTTTTCAGATCACAGTTCTGTCGATGTTTTCAGACCCCAACAGGGTTTGACCCAGCCCTTAATCCCTACAAAAAGGGGTCAGCATCCTACTAATTATTTACTTGACACTGATGTTTGCCAGGGCAGTCAGTTACATTCGTGTCATGGTCAAAACATGGGGTGTTTTTTCATATTCGGGGATGGTCATCAGTCCAGTAAATAATAAGGTTCTTTTTCTTTTTGTTAATATATATATATATATCACTAGAAGGGTTCCCTTTATGGGATGCAAGACCATAAACCATGTATACCATGGTACATGCACAGGTCTTTATCGTCCGCGCTATGATGCTGTTCAGTTGACAACTTGCCCTTTCACAAATGTGTTGACTTCCTGCTCAAAGGGCCACCATGACTGTGAGCCACATTAATCATGTAAACTGATATTTATCACAGAACCATCAACAAATTGGAAACATGGGGAGCCTGAAACTGAAAATAACTTTCTCCAGAAGCGCAACATGAACAGTCCAGCAAAACAACCATTTTCCAACGCCACTTGATGAGGGATCCGTGGCTTAGATTCTGTTGTTATACAACTATTTAACTATTGTTTAAGGCACTATATAAGTTATTCCAACCTTAGCACTATTCGTGCTACCCAATGTTGACCATACCAACTTAAGATCCATCCATCGGTTACTCATCAAAAATCCCCCGTTTTCAGGCAGACCCGTTGCCTAGAGATCTGGAGTTATCTCCCACATAAGGTTCCACCATTATCAATTAAATCCTTTTTGGCTACAATGTTGATCTCTATTGAGCCATCATTATAACATTTATAACGTCTCCCATCATCGAATGTTCCAGACTTATTATTCTTGCTATTATCAAATCATATTTTTTTAGAATATACAAAAGTCATTTGATGACTTTTGAGGATGAACTACCATGTTGGTTATATTGTCAATAAATCACTTCTTTCCGTTCAGAAAGCAGGGTGTTGCACCGGACCATGACTGACAGGTGGCCGGAGCTGGGGGTCCCTTCTATAACCCACAAGACCTGGAGGCGCAGGCGTGGAGCCAAGTTTTCACTTCGATTTTGGTAGAAAGAACTATAAACATCAAATTTCATTTAAAAAAAAACACTTCAATTTTCACTGATTTGTGTTAAAAGTTCGTAAAGGTTGTTTTAAAAAACAAATTTCACGTCAATTTTCACTGATTTATTTGAAAGTTCATAAAGGTTTAACAAAAAAACAAACAAACATATCAGCCCCATTGTTTGTTGGAACATCGATGATTTGGGATGAAATTTGATGGATGAACATTCGTTAACATCGATGAACATGTCCATAAAGAACCATTCATGTTTATCCAAAATTTACTATCAGAGGTGAACTAACGTAACTATGGAAAATCACCATTTTTCATTGGTAAATCCACTATTTCAATGGCCATTTTCAATAGCTTTTTGTATGTTTACCAGAGGGGTATCATTTGTTATGTCTCTATATGTTCTATATGTTCAACCATTGTTGGGATTCGATGATGATCCCCAATGACAAGCATACTTTTGGGATGGTGAGACGGGCTCCAAATGACCAACAGAGGTGGGCGTTTCTGAATTGATGTATAGAGATGAGTGGCACAAGGAGTAGAATGGTCCAATCTATACAAGTTTCGGACTGGGTGGACAAACCCAATGTTATACGTATACATATATGTATATATACATATATATACATATATAATCATGTATATATATACATATACATATATATATACATATATATACATATATATATATACATATACATATGTATATTATATGTATACATATTATATACAATATACAAATGTTTATTGGCAGGATTGGTAGTTTCAAGAATGGTACATATTGTTGGTGATCATCGCAATCAACCCATATTCATCTACATGTCTCCATAAGAAATGGTGGTTTTGGACTGTGGTGCTGATGAAGAAATCAGTAGTGGATGTTTGACGCCTGTTTCTTGCTGGTGAAATCCTCTATTGTTGGTTTCTTGTCAAAAAGAGGAAACAATGATGGTTGTATAGTTTACCTTTGATTGGTGGTTCATCAACCTGGTTTTGGTCAATTCAACAATTAGGATTTGGTTACTTGATTGAGTCTCTGTTTTGCTCCATGAACTCTACTGTATCTTTAGCTCGGGGCTGTGGTCTTTTGCGACCGCCAGCACTTCCCAAGCAGGATCATCATGCAGGATTGTCTCAAAATAAGGTACCCCCCGCGAAATTGATGGTTGATCATCATCTTTTCCATTTAAATTGTTGTTTGTTTTTTGTGTTTTTGTTTAATACGGGTATTTTGGTATCCACCATTTTTGGTCAAGTATGATCCCGGCAGAAAGTCTTTGTCAAAGTTGCAGGTTGTGCCATGGTCACCCTACAGGATTTGTCCTATGTTGTTTCAATTCGGTGCCGGTGTTTTCTTGGCTAAAATCCCTTCGGTCGAAGCATGTTTTTCCGTTGGATCCAAATTTTGAATCCAAATTGTTGTTTGCAACATCCCAAGTTGTTGGTTTTGTTTTTACTATGACATCAATCCAACATGTGTGTCTTATGTATTAAACATATTTGTCTTAATCCCAGTCAACACGCACATATATGTATATATATATGTATATATATATATATGTATATATATGTATATATATATATATATACACATATATATATATGTATATATATATATATGTGTGTGTATGAGTTGCATTTGTTTGCCTATCCGCTGGTTTGGAGGGATTGGTTAGGAGCCTAAGGATAATTATGTTCCCTAGGAGCTTCAAGGAGCTTTACCACCTGATAATCAGTTGATGGAAGTACATGCAGTCCTTAGAACTAGACAATTGAACTTCTTGTCCAAGTCTGAAGATAAGTGATATGGTATATACCACTATTTGACTATAGTTGGGATAAATTTGTGGAAACAATCTAACAATGGAACTTCCAAATAAGGATGATATACACCACTCCAGTCCCCATGTGCTCCAGGGACGAAGCAACTCCCGGCGCAGCAGCAACGCCTCGGTGGGGTCACCGAAAGGGGCGAAGACGCCTTGGGGGTGGGGATTTTTCGAGGTCAAATTCGTTGATGAACCATTGAACACGGGAAAAACTCATGGGTCGATCAGATTTGGACAAAACGTTAGTTTTTTTCTTACAGATGCAGCATGGATTCTTGATGGACTGCTAGTTGAGTTCAAATGAGTTGATGATCAGTTGAAGATAAGCGCAAACAACCCGGAAGTTTGCCCATATGGCCCATATCCAAATAACACACCGAAACACTGTGCTTGTCACCCGAGGATGAACGAAACTTGCTATACGCAGCATTTTGACTTTAAATTTAGCTTTCAGGATTTAGGGTTTTAGGGTTTGTGGGTTGAGGGTTTTAGGGTTGGACTTTCAGGGTTTTGGAGTTTATAGTTTATTGTTTTGGAAAGTTCAAAAACGCTAGCGCTACGAAGGGATTTGAGCATGTCAAAGGATATGCGGGATCGGTCACGTGCAAACGTCAAGGTTGCAGCGAACAACAATCAACTACTTGGAGAGTCAACCGATTCCTGGTGACATGTTCCCCAGACAAATGTAGATTGGAACAGCAGAAATTGGGAATCAAAGATAATCAAAGCATATTTAAGAAAATAAATAGGATGATATATCATTCACAGATGCGGAGATTTCGCTGATTTAGGCTTTGGGGATTGTCAAACGCGAAAAAAACAAATCGACCCAAAAAAGAATGTTCGTCCCCTAAGTTCTATTTGTTGGGATGAGAATGGTGTTATTTTATTAGGTCTTTGGTGTTACCCGATTCTTCTTTTTTTCCATTTTTCCCCCATAAAATGGGGGACCATCTATGGATGAACCATCCATTAATTCGTGAACAGAAGGGATTTCTTTGTGTTGCGTTCTGGATCAGATTTCCGAAGGTGCCCATCTGATCCCTTCCATCAGCAAATTCGCACGTGGGATTCGTAGAAGTTTGGAATTTGCTGCATGTGTATATTTATAGAATTATAGTCATCACAAAAAAGATGCTGAAAAGATCCGAACATCATTTCCAGGATGTATAGATTATATTTATCCCATATTGCCAGGTTTCCTACATGTTCTATGTAATTTTGCGGTTGCTACGTATGGATTCACTCTGGGTGGGTGAAGCAAGTAGCAAGATGCATGAGAGCATCTGGACAAAATGCACAATGGAGATTCCACTCAAAGGGTGGTTAAACATGGTTAAATGAATTCAGCTCGTGAATGAAGCAGGATTTTCTGCTTGGTGGTTTCAAACATTTTTATTTTCCAAAATATATGGGATAAGCCTTCCCATTGTCTTTCATATTTTTCAAGATGGTTAAAACCACCAACCAGTGAATTTCAACACCAGTTTCACTGCATTGCATAGTACGAACCGAGGAACTTGACCTTCACAGATCCCCCCCGATCCAAGGGACAAAATCCAACCCGCAACGACGGCACGGTTTAGATGCAACTGGACGGATACTTCCAACAGTAATGTTAGCGACCCAGTGCCATCAAGCTATACCACCTGGGGATGCCGGCCCAGTGGTCATGTGGATGTCATGTGGGAAATCCGGTGGACCGACTATATACCATCGCACATATTTTGTAATTATTGATTATATTATCATCATATATATATATATATAATATTATATATGATATGTATATGTATATGTATATGTATGTGTATATGTATGAACCCACATCAGCCCGATTTCACAGTGGTTTCAAGGAAAACTCGCATCCCAACTGAGACCCCCCAACGAGCACCAATTCCAGGTGGGAGGTCCTTTCTACAACCCACAGGACATACAGGCTCAGGTGCGGGGTTCGAGGTGTCAGATCCATAGGATCCCTTGGTGAATGGTGGTGATAACCATATATTTTGTTGGTCAAACCAGGTAACCAGTCCAACCCAGATTTGTTCACTACTATTAAGTCTAAGTGACTAAAGTGACCAAAGCCCCAAAGAGCTAGTCCTGGGAGAGCTGACATCAACTGACTAAACTCCGTTGATAGGAGAATATCCAGTGTTTCCTTGTTCGATTCTGAACTGCTTGAGACAACATTCAATCTGTTCTTGTTCGGGTAAAATAAAAATATATAAAAATGAACAAAATTCAATTACCCGAACTTGTTCGATTCTTAAGACAACATTCATTTTTTCAATGTTTCCACAGTTATGGCCATTTATCAGTTATAAGTACTTATAACCCCATTTATAGAATGTATAATCCCATTTATAACCAGCTATAACTGGTAAATGGCCATAACTGCATGGCAAAAATTGACCAAAATCCACGACCGTCTCCCCAGTCCCGTGGCAGGGCCGAAGCAGCTCCCGGCGGAGCAGCGCATCGCAGGCGAGGAACTGGCCAAGACAGTCCCTTTCTGCATTCGTAGCTATGCATGGTTTATCTATGGCCATCCTTCTCTCTCTCTCTCTATTAATATATATATATATACATATTAATAAATTGATATAATTATATATATACTTGGGCATGTTGCTAGTAACTGCTACAGTAGTACACTGATCTGATCTACGTGCAAGTCTAATGATTGCTGATTTGAATTGGAGGATTTTGACCCTTGGAATCGGTAGTTAAGCATCCATTTGGAGTGATTTGGGTTACAGACATGCATGTTTATGACATTTATATGCATTCTAGGATTTCTTCATATTGGGATCTCATATGGGGCTTGTAGGTTTTTTGCCGGGAAGTGGATGAGTACATATGAGTACATCATGCCATGTCGGGAAGATCCATTGAATCACCAAAACCATCAGCATTGAAGGGAAACAAACAGGCATAACTTTGCACAAGGACCAAGAACAATGGTGGGGTTTTCAGTGCCCCCAGAAATAAGGACGTCACTTTTGGATCGCCCGCAATATGAACATTGGCCGATCAGCAGAGGTTTCGGGGATTTAGCGAGGATCTAACGGGGAAAATACTGGGAGATAATGGGGATATAAGTATTAGGGGATATAAGTAACCAACTATGGTGACTTCATCACAGATGGGAATTGATCACAGCAACGTATCAGACATTTGAGGAGTTGGTTCTTCACAATTCAGACATATATTCACAGAAGAGATGTTTGATTCACAAATAGCAGGGTCCACAAATCGTAAGGCTAAGCTGGTTGCATCAACACATTGGAAATCAGTTGGCTAAATATTTGGTCCCTTTAGGTACCGTAAAGTTGTTCCTTTTTGGCCAACCACAACTTGAGATCCCACATGATACATGTAAAAACTTTGAAGCTTCCGAGATATCCCCATGTTTGGCCAGTGTTTGGCTAGTGAGATCCTTTTTTGTTGGGTTAGTTGATTCATGTGAAGTCCCCAATGTTCATTTTAGTTGGCACATGTTGGGTTATTCAATCCCAGGATGTTGACGGATTTGATCCCATATCAACGCTAGTGGAACCCAACTTTGGCTGCTTCAAGCGCCATGTTTTGACAACTTTGGCTGGGCAGAAATGGACCGCCCCGCTGGAGGTTCCAGCGGGTGGACCTTTCTACACGCCGCAGGCGGCGGAGCGGGTTTTTTTTTCCGATGTTTTCCTATATGTTTGGCGGATAGTTTGTGTGTCAAACTTGGGGATAGGCCGATTTTTGGCATGTTCATACGATTTCATACGTATTCAAACGCACTTCAGAGATTTTAATGGGAAACATGAGCATGAGATTGTTACAATTAGACTTCTGAGGTTCCGAATTCTGAAAAATCCTAATGTATACTGCAAAGTATCTAAAGAGGCTGGGCTGGAGCGTAGTGATTCGGTAAAGGGACATAGCAAGGGGAAAGTTGTTTGTCCGGAAACTTATATTATGGATCAGAGATTTGAGTTGCCAGAGTAAAGTGCCCCAGATGGCAAGTCAATCTCCTCTCAGTCCATGATTTTAAGGGTGTTGGGTCTTCAGGTTCACAGCATAGGACTCTTCAGTCTTTTGCCCAACGCAAAAATATGGGTTGTGTCAACCCTCCATGGATCAGCAGACGTAAGGAGGCAGCATCCAGCCATTTTTGCCGCTAGGATATCGCCGGGTCACCAGGTAGCAGGCAGGGCCGGGGTGGTCGGACATGGACCGATGGGGATCCATGGTGGCTTGTAACCTTGAAATCTTTGGGGCATATGGAAACATATGGAAACATATGGAAACATATGGAAACTCAATAAGGAAACATATGGAAGCTCAATAGAAACTGAAGATTTTTCAAGGTCAGCGGTTGAAGAGGTTGAACATGGCTGTCCATTGAACTACATGTTCGAAGCTGTTTCTGGTTGCCTCGGGGCCTGTGGATGGGGGACCCACGGAACTGGGTGCCAAAGAACTTTTTTTTTTTCTCGGACAGATTGGTCAATTTGAGAATCAAAGATCCAACATGATCCACCCAGTTTTGGACCATCTTTGCCACATTCCAAGCAGTGGCCCGAACATCCCATATCAGCAAAACGATCACCCGCCGAGGAGAAATAGCGAAGCGGGCCAAGAGGGGAGCACCTGGGCGCACAAAGTGCCTGGTGACGATCGGGACTTGGCACCTTCCAGCAGTGACTCGGCGCTGAAGGTGGGCAAAGTACCAGTGGATCCAGTGGAATCCTGGAAAAAAAAGAAAAGCGAAAAAAACGCCGATGAAGAAACCATTGAAACCATAGGATCCATGGTGCTGCTATATATGGTAACATTTACCATCAATATACCCCCTTTATGTTGGCATATATACCAGCACCATGGATCCGTCATGGGTTGTAGAATGTTGTAGAATTGTTGTAGACTGTAGACTTTCGATAAGGTTTTGTTCAAGGGCCAGAGCCGATGGAGCTCGAGATCATGACGCCCCAAGAGTTTGTCCATGGGCCAATGCCTCAAATTGGTCATTAAGACATGGCAGAATGCGAACATTGATTTTTGAAAACAACCGGATATTTGAATACCCTACTCCATGAGAAACGCATCTTTGAGTGAACTTCATACTGCGTCTCAGGTTCAGCTCAAAATCCCGAACAAAAACATATAAGTTACAGTCACAGTTTTCAAAGTCCTCACTATGCATTTTGTTGAGGCTAATCGCTGTCTGAAAAGGCTTCAAGTGTACCTTTAAGAAACAACCCCTCAAAGCTTAACAGTGTGGGGCACCCAAAATAGCGAATTATGTGTCTAACTTCAACAAGTCGGATTTACATATGGATATTGCCGACGGGGGGGGGCGCCAAAGTGTGCAATGTTTCATTGTTGAAGTATAATTGTTGAATTAATTAATATTTATCAATAGTGTTTTGGCTGATAGTGGTCATAATAATTATGAGTAATCATTATGAGTGGTTACTACTAGTATAATTAGTAATCATTATCATTACTATCATTATTGATACATTATATATTATCATTACGGTCATACTAAACAAAACAATTAGTGGTCATCTAATTATTTGTTTATCTTGATACTTGCTATCTTTCCATCAAAATTCAGTGGTTTACTCAATCGTTTGCTTCCCGTTTTTGACAATTCCTGAAAAGGGGGTCTCAATAAAGATACCGAAAAGTCTTATCCGGAATATACGTGTGTATATATATATGATATATAATTAATATTTATATATATATACATAAATATATATACATATATATATATATAGGCTCAAGGCTGGGGGTTCCCCGGAGCTTCCAGGAACCCTCAGTCTTGAGCCTATACTACAAACGTCGTTATGGGGGGGGTGTAATAACGTCATGTGGAGTGCGTTGGATTCAGAGTTGTGGAAACCTTGAGGATGTTGCTTCGTTGACGATGTTGTTACGTTGTAAGTATCGTTGTTGCTCTCGCTCCAAGCAACTGCTTCAAAAAGCCCTTGTGGACGTGAAGATGAAAAAGGTGTGATGTTCATTTCGTCCATGGTTCTCCAGTGAATTATGACATTTCCTAGTTATCAACAAAACGACCAATGGTTAGAATGTTGCACACAATTTTGGCCATCCATGGAAGATGTAAATTTATCATTTTTCTGCGCGGACAAACGTCAAGTTTATCCGCGCCGACATTGAAACTTTGGCGATCGAACACTTTCAGAGAAAAGCATAAAACACTGTAAAACACAGTGTAAAATCAACATTTTCCTTATCCATACAAATAAAATGCGATTGGCTTCCGGGGAACCCCCAGCCTTCGCCCTATACATATTTAATTATATATATATATATATATAGATATAGATATAGATGGTGTTAACTCCATTTCCAGGTTGCCCACGTTTCTACCTATTTTGGGGTTGCTATGATTATAACCAGCCGGATGGATCCACTCTCCGCGCTCCAAGACTCCAAGGTAAGCTTTCTGTGCAGTCGGGCCGTCGTATGAGCAATACCAGTGGCGATGCTTCTCCGGGTGGTGGAGGCAGGGAACAGCCTGGTACAACGCCAAGTTATAACCCCTGGTTATGTCAAAATAGCTATTGAAAATGGCAATTTATAGTTGATTTACCCATCATTGTGATTGTCCATAGTTATGTTAGTTTACCAGAGGGTAACCCTCCGTGAGGTTTTCTGTAAGTGTGTGTTGTTCTATTTTTACCGCAGTTTTGGAGGCGTTGACACCCCAGAAGACGGCGCCTATTTGTTTGTTCTTGTTCTCTTATGTCGTCTATGATGAGGTTTGGGGGAGTGGGGTGGGGCGGGGTCCAATAACACCCCTTGCTCTTACTCCTGTCCTTGATGCTATGTTATTAGATTCTTCTTGCATGTGATGCTACGTTGTAACCTTTTCTCACTTGATGCTGCGGAACTGTGAACACCAAACACTGGCAAATGATGCTAAGTTGTTAACTTGTTCTTGCACTTGATGCTACGATATAAGCCTTATAAGCTTCTTTGATCTTAGTGACACAGGGAAAGCAGGAGTTTGTTCGAACGATCAAAACACAAAAGGCAAAAGGTGTCACTACAGCTGGGGCACAGGTCCTAGATTCCTAGATCGGTGGTGGCAAACTCTGGATGGAGTGCTGTCTTTCACACACACACACACGACTCAGTCACACACGACTCTTTCACACACATCTCTGTCACACACAGCTCTTTCACACAACCTGTCTTCCACGGATGAATTCAAATAAAGCAGCCACACACACAAATATAATGATAAACTATGATAGACTATACATGAACCAACGACCCAGGGACTCCGGCTAATTAGTTCAGGGTAGCTGTGACCGTTTGTGTGCACCATTTTCCTTGCCTTTGCAAGCCCCACCATGCTTGTGTCTTCAACATCTCCACAGCCTCTACAAATTAAAGGAACAAAACAAAATCTCAGCTCTGGGGTTGGACATGGATCCAGTGGATATATATATATATATATCGATATATTCAATTGTATATTGGAGATTGATTATGTCACCCATGGTGACTCGGGGATCCTCCATTTTAAGAAACCACCATATCACCCCATATCTAGAGATGATGGATATATTTTTTTAGACAATGTATATCCCACAATTACTATGCTAGTAATGTCGGTATAGTATTGATATATCATGATATATATATATATATATAAATAAATGTAATTATACATATATAAAAATGATATGTATATATATATATATACATATAATAATGATATATATATATACATATAATAATGATATATATATATACATATATATATATACATATATATATATATACATATACATATATATACATATTTATATTTATATTTTACTATTACGGTAAATATGTTTAGATATATGATTTTGATTGATCATAATATAGATAATATATCCCATATATCCCACAAAAACTGTGACATTTATGGTTCCTCACGACACCAGGCTCTGGCGGCGAATCGCCTGAGCGGAGAAACGTCTCCAACCAGCCGCGGAGCACCACGCATGGCACGCACCTGTCCACGGCGGATGCGCGGTGCCATGGCAAAAATGGGGAGTTTAGGGAAGAGAAAAGAGAGAGAAATGGGTGATTTCAATACAGGAATATATTCTCATGAAATTACCCTAAATTTGCCATAAAATTACCATACGATTACCATAAAATTACCATAAAATTACCAGAAAAATGGGTGATATGCCCTGAGTGAAGTTGGACTTACGGAACTTATTCAATGATTTACACCTAAGGACATATCCCTCCTATAGGGAAAAAATGGAGTTTTAGCGAAAATGATGAAATTCGGGATTTCACGGACAAGAAAAATCTGGGTTTCTCCAGCGAATATATGGAGTTTGTGCATGTTTTCGCTGTAGGGCTCTGCGAGTTAACATGATTTAATCATGAACAAAGAATTTTTTTTTTGGAACAGCAAGAAATGATGGTTTTACTGCAAAACAGTGATATGTCCATCAACAAAGTGATGTGAAAGACCAACAGTTGGGATTTAATTCAACAACAAAGACGAATTGGGATGGATAATCGACTTTCAACCATCAATATTTCGGACTTGAAATCATTAACCCATCGCGTCTTTCACCATCAAGACTTGTGGGTCTGAGCATGAAACATAGGGGGCAATCAACCAACCATCAAGTTAACATAGGGAGGTAAGCATCAAATGATGATGTTCAACGGGTAAAGACTGAATGAGTTTGAAGCAACTAGGGGATTTGAACCGACTATTAACTCGAAGGTGCAAACCATGAATTGCAAGTGGGTTTCAGATTTTAATTGGGGCACAATAATATAGTAGTGAGTAGGCATGATGCTAGGTTCGTTGCTTCAATTTCACCACATCATATATCATCCACCATATCCATTTCATGTTCCATCATTTTTCACCATCATATTTTCCATTCATCACCCATTTCCACCATATCATCAATCATTGTTCCAATATTTTTCCCATTCATCTTCATTTTTCATTTTCCCATTTCATGTTTCCATTGTCTTTTCATTCATATTCCCATTCATCTTCATTTTCATCTTATCCATCATATTTTCATTCATCATCTTCATTTTCATCCATAGTATCATAGCGACGAACCTAGCATCATGCCTACTCATAGAAAAAATAGGTAAGAAAGAATAGTTTAAATTATCTTAATCAAAATAATTTAAATCATTTCATCATAATTTTATTTCAGGATAATAATTTAATTGGTGTGGTCTATTCTTATTCAATTCATAGGTCATTTTAACAAAAATATTCAAATCCCTTATTGTATTTTTAACATTTAACTTTTTGCTTTCAATATACAGCTTAATATTTTCTTTGACATCTTCAACATCCTCGTGAGCAAGTTTCCATAATATATTTTCCAAAACATCATATTTCTTTTCACTTATTCTCATTACTTGTTTAACATCTTTTAAGGTTGGTAAATAATGATGATAAACAATAATAAATGCCAATACATCTTCTTCAACATTTCTTTTTTTTCCTAATATTTATTTGACATAAACAGTAGAACAATCTTTGATTACACCTCCAAATACAACAGTAATCACACGCTTCCTCATCATAGTTATATTTAATAATATTATTCACTATATCATTTGGTAAATTCAATTTATACAATTCCATATTTTCTTTTTTGAAATGACAACAGTCATAGCATTTTTTGTTAATATAATTATTAATTTCATTCCTCAACATTTTCACTCTTAATATATATAGGTAATATTTCTTTAAATACTTTTAGACTAAAACTTAAATTAGTATTAAGATTGACTAAATTAATATTAATATTAAAATGATAAAAATATTTCCTTTATCAACTCTTCTAAAAAAGATTAAGCTAAAATAACTTAAATTATCTCAATCAAAATAATTTAAATCATTTCATTCACAAATACTTTTTAATTCTATTTATTATTTTGTCACTTGTTTTTTTTATTGTAAATATTATTTCCTATTTTTTTTTGAAAATACCCCATTGTTTTAATTGCTTTCTTTACTGTATATTTAAGTTCATTTGAATCACATTTACAACTTATGTTATTCATCGCTTCGTAATACAAATCATCAATACTAAAAGACATACTATACAATCTTTTCACCATATCATAGTATTGAAAAATAAAATCATTATCATTTCCTTCATCGTCGCATTCAGTTAATAAATTGTGAAATTCTTCTTTAGTTAAAAAATCATTCATCTGAATAAATGTCCATATTTCTAAATCTTCATCAAGGGTATTAACACTTCTAATATCAATATCAATATTTCTATCATCCATAGCATCAATGTTTTTTACTACTTTGGAGCAATTATCGCACATAATATATTGACACATATTATCAACAACATCATTCATAAACCCTTGTTTCATTGTTAGTTTAATCATATTACAGTCTTTACATTTGTAACTCATAAACTTTTGTTTCAATACATTTTTAGCATCCATACCTTCACGGACAGTATCACTATAACAACTATACTCACTCTCAGTATCACTCATTATTCTAATAATCTTATATAGGTAATATTTCTTTAAATGATTTTAGACTAAAAATTAAATTAAGATTAATATTACAATGATACAAATATTTCCTTTAGCAACTCTTCCGGATTTCAAGAGAGACTTTGAAAAATCTCTCTTATCAAACTTTCAGGTATTCTATACAATTCTTCCTGTGTATGTCTAATAGCAAAAGGATTATTTTTAAAATCATTAGGTAAGCGTTGCGCCGTTTCAATGTGCTTATTATCAACTACTTTTCCGCAGTCTTTCTTACATAAGGGTCTAGGCGTCCAATTAGGACGTCGCAAAATCTCGCGACGGAGTGTCGCAAAATCTCGCGACGGAGTGTCGCAAAATCTCGCGACGGAGTGTCGCAAAATCTCGCGACGGAGTGTCGCAAAATCTCGCGACGGAGCGTCGCAACTTCCCGCAACGATTTTTTGGGGCAAGTGCTCCCGATATAAGTCAAATGATTTACTGTATTTTTGATGATGTAAATTTTACCCTTACTGTAGTCCCTAGTCATACGGTTTTCTATTGATTATTAAGGTTGATATATCTTTAGATGGGTTTAAATACCTAAAAATAATTATACCAAAATAGGTTTAATTGGTATAATCATTTTCAAACAATAACCATCATCGCTTCGGTAATATCTTTCTTATACTTTCTGTTGTAGTTTCTTTCCGGTGGTGGTTCATCACTATTCGTTTCTTCCAGTTTTTTGTGTTCTTCTTTTTCTGCTTTCTTCTTTTGATAGTATCTACGCTTACTTTCTTTTCTGCTTTCCTTCATGTCTGGATTGTCCCTTGTCCTATAATAATACAGTCTTTGATACAATGCCATTTGTTCTTTGATTTCATCAAGTGTTAAGTCTTCATGTTTTTTTGATGACATTATTATTAATATAATCTATATATTATTATTTCTTTAGATACATTTTAAGTCAAAAATAATATTTAAGTTTTTTCGTAATTATGGGATTTAGTGCCATATATATCTAAAGAAATATTTGTATTATTTTCCAATATATGTTATGATTAAAAAGTCTATAAAGAAAAATATTGATGCTTTAAAAAATCTACGAGATAGTAAAAGAGGCAAAATTCCAAATACCATTCTGGGTAAAGTGAATAACATTGTTGAATTATATGAGCAGAGAAAAATCGTTCAACTATCTACCGCACAAAATCTTATCAACAACATTTCAACCAACAACCCCAAGAAAAGAGCAAAAACATTAGAAGAATATGAAAAGAAAGTTGAAAAATATGAGACATCAAAACCAGCAGGAGAAAGAACAGCACAGAATGCCCAAAAAGCAAGAGAAGGAAAACAGATAAAAAATGTTAGAGTAAGATTAAGAGAAAAAACAAAGGCATCAGCAATATCAAGACTTGTAAGACAAGCAAGAGAGAGAGGGATAGGCAACAGGAAATTATATTCAATTGAATTCATGCTTTACTCACTGGAACCCATAGGTGCCATAGTCAGAGGCAAGAAAATCAACAATCTAATCTATTATCCAATGTTTGAAAGAGGAAGACCCAGACAAGCAAGCATCAAAGTAGGGGAATTCATTGAAACACTGACTAACAGAACAGTAACTAAACAGCAAGAAAAACCGATGTTTAAAAAACTGATGATGTTTCTAAAAACTGATGGTGGCTTAAAAGATGCCATGCCAGACATGTTAGATTATGTAGATGCCATCCAAATAACTAAAGTTGAAAAGACTGATGATGACGGCAGACCCGACAATGTAGAGGATGAGGGACTGAGGGAAACAGCAAATGTAAGCATCTACAGTTTTTATCATGAGTCAGTGATTGATGTTGATAAAGAAACCGTAAAGGAAGCAATACAACATAATAATTTTAGAGAAAATGAGTGCTGGATAAATGAACTCCTTAAAACTTATGAAGGGTCTGAACTGATGAGAGAGAAGAGAGGAAAATTAGCAAAAACATTATCAAGAAACAAAATATTAGAACTACTAAATAGGACAGAAGATGACATACATGAATACGGCATATCCATTAATCAAATGGAAAAGGTGTTTAAGTTTTTCAATATACCGGTCAAACTATATAACTACCGGTGCCAGTTGATTTATACATTTGAACCTAACAACTTCAAGAATGGCAGAAGAAAAACCATCTTTGTAGCATTCATCAAAAACAATCATGTTTATCCAATCAATGCCAATCAAGATAGTTTATGTCAGTTGAAAGTGGGTGAGCAATATTGTGCCAAAGCATCCAGTAACTTTTATATCACCGATAAGACTGAACCACCAAAATTCAAAATGTTTAGTCATATAGATGAGTTACTGAAAATGACTGAGCATGAAGAGCATAATCTAATACATAAAGATAATAATTTGAATGAAATATTATTCCAATTTAGGAAAGCAGGTTACGAACCCATGGTTAAATACCAAGGTAATAGAATAGTAGAACTGAGGGCAAGATACACTGAAAAGAAAACAAGAAAAGTAAGAACTTACATTATCAAAACTCAAGACTTATCAAAGGAAATCATAGAAAGAGATGTATATAC